CCCCCCTTCTATTCTGCCATACGAGAAGGGAACCTCCTCAGTAGCCGAAGTTGAAGCCCAACTCTCCGAGAGAGAGGATATACTCAAGACCCTCAAGTATCACCTACAGCGGGCCCAGCAGCGTATGAAAATTTCTTATGACAAGAAACACCGGGAGTTGGAATTCTCAGTGGGGGATTGGGCCTATCTGAAACTCCAACCATATAGACAAGCGTCTCTGGCCTGAAGATCAACTCAGAAGCTGTCTCCCCATTACTTTGGCCCATTTCAAGTGGTTGAAAGAATTGGGAGCATAGCCTATCGTCTTGATCTCCCTACAGAGTGCCAGTTGCATCCTGTTTTTCATGTTAGCCTCCTTAAGCCCTGCCTATCTCCTTCTGACATCACCAGCCCCACACTTCCCCTGTTTCTGAAGTTGGCGAAGTGGTGTTTGAACCGCAATGGATTAAGGATGTTCGTTGGGTGAAAATCGGCAGCAAGGCCCACAAGCAGGTCTTAGTTGTGTGGAAGGGTCTACCGGAGGAGGATGCAACCTGGGAGGATTATACCCAGCTCCAGAAGCAATTTCCCACCATCGACCTTGAGGACAAGTTCGTTCTCGATGGGGAAGGGTATGTTAAGACCCGAGTAGAAGCAAACCTAGAAGGAAAGGTCCAGGCCCATAGCACTCGAAGCCCACCTCAAGCCGCCCCAGGGATCATGCACACCATGACTCCTCTGAGGTTCGTGTGCTTGCGCCGCCGTCCACGTCAGGAGGTGTGATTCGGTCGTTAGTTTGTTAGAAGATGTGCTTCACATTATAAATCTGTAATGAGCTCTTGAGAGCATCAGATGAGTAATACAATAAATGTCTTCTTCTTCCTTCTTTCTTCTTTCCTCTTTCTCTCTCTCTCTCTCTCCCCTCTCGAGTATCTCAGGAGGGTGAGCTCCCTCGAACCAGCTCCAACTATTCTCAGTCACAGTCCACAGTTCCATCAGTATCATATGCATACATGTGTACATTTCATTAAAAGGCTCATATGGAAAAAATATTAAACAAATAGAAAAAAGTGCAGTTTCTTTTACAAATTTGAAAAAAAAAAGGAAAAAAGATTATAGGAGTTATAAAAACCAAACAGGAGACATATATTTTGCTTTCATCTTTATTATGTATTCGAGTCTTCTTTCTTTCCAGTATTAACCATTAACCATGTAGTTTGATCTTGCCAGAATTGTTGCATGAAGACTCTCTTCATCCTATCTTGTTCTTGGCCACAGCAAGGTTCTACAGAAGTTTGCTTTCTTTTTCCCATCCACGGGCCATCTCTCTCTTCCCAAGTTCAAGATGGGTTAAGACTCTTCTATCCACATTTTTGTCTTCTTATTAGTCAATCAATCAGTCTATGTTTTTAACTGTCAAAGTTTTAATAAAGAATGAAATCTATATAGCGAAGCACTAAAGATCCTTTTTCTGTTAGGCTAGCATCTTCTACCTAATCCCATTTTTATTGATTTACAGCAATCATTATGAGAAAGCCTCCAAAAACGCTAATTACTCACCCCCTTGTTTGGCTATCGTGTCAACCAAGTTGTTTGCTGATGTTTGGAGCCATTTGAAGGTTCCCAATTCCTTTGCCAAGTATTTAACTTTTTATCATAATATGTCCATCCACAAGATTTGGCTATTGTTCTTTGTCCATTACACAACTACCCAGAAGTCCCCTTCCACCACTACCTATCGCTCTTTAGCCATCTCGCTACGACCCAAGAGTCCCCTTCCACAACTATATTTCTGAACTTCAGGGATCTTCCCAGACACAACTTTTGTAGGACAGCTAACAGTTTAGCTCTTTATGAGTCTAACACATATGGGTCCTGAGAAGATGGTAAGAATAGCCCCATAACTGCTTCTAAATTCTCCTACTATACCAAAATCACTAGATTATTCATACCACAATCATCAAGATTTAATTGGACTTGGAGGCTAGTTAGTGGGCATCAATCCACTGGGGTAGTGGCACCAATCCTCCAAGTCAATGGGACAGTGGTTCAACCGTCCAGGTCAATGGATCAACCCATGATGTCATCAATATGAAAAAAAAGAAAAAAACCCAGTAACCCATTGAATGAGTCAGATGGGGCAATGGTTCAATCATCAAGGTTGACAAGACAATGGGTTCTGTAACATAATGGGTTAGAGATTGAGCCAAACTGGAGTTGTGACCAGGTCACCAGTCCAACTGGGTGGGTCAATGATGGGTTGAAAACACTGGAAAGGGGGCAAACACATCCAAGGTTTTTAGCCAATGCACACCACTTTCATCAAAATGTTTTTAATGATATCTTCCTCTGACCGTCTTTTTTTTTTTTTTTAATTCTCAAATTCTTTTCTTTCCATACTGTCCACAAGACGGCTACCTTGCTCTTCAACCCATTTCTTTATGGTCTGTCCCTAGCTCTTCTAGACCCACCCTTCTGAAAGAATGGTATGATCCATCGTATGGACGCCAAAAAGGTTGCGGAATGGGAGGGCAAATTTCAAAAATTTCCTACCTTCTTCCAACTAGGAATCATATTCCCTAAATTTAGAATACAATATTCAAGGATCCTACTTGAACCGTAATCGAACCAGATCTGAACCAAAAGACAAGGGAGGAATTATACCTGATCCAGAGAATCAGTATCTCCTAAAGTTGGTGTTCAC